TGAGGAAGATTAGCCCTGAGCTAACATCTGTTGCCAATCCTCCTCTTTTTGCTGAGGAAGATTGGCCCTGAGCTAACATCCGTGCCCATCTTCCCCTACTTTATATGTGGGATGCCTGCCACAGCATGGCTTGATAAGTGGTGCATAAGTCTGCGCCTGGGATCAAAACCCACGAACCCTGGGCTGCCGAAGCAGAGCGCGCGAACTTAATCACTACACAACCCGGCCGGCCCCGATGTACATGTTTTTACGTTAATTGTAATTACGGTGTACATACATTTTTGTATCATCCTTTTTTCAATTTTTAAGTGATACAAATGTTCCAGATGCTATATTATTTTCATACTTTTTTTCATATTTTAATATGATTTCTAACATTTTCATACTCTTCCATTGAGTGAATTATAGCATAACTTAAATTTCTTCTTAATATCAAGCCTTAAGGGAATTTACAGTGAAGCTGTAACAGTGTGCATTTTGAGCAGATAAATTCAAGACTGTTTGGCATGTTGCTGCATCACTCTATTTGTAATTGGACACCCTCTTTCTTTTTTTGTAGGAAAGATCCTGCATACCATTCATTCCCACCAGAAGGTGTTTTCACAAATACCCTTGGCCTTCTGATTCTGCTGTTTGGGGCCCTCATTTTTTGGATAGTCACCAGGCCACAATGGAAACGTCCTAATGAACCAAATTCTATCCTTCAGCCAAACGGAGGCAATAAAGAAGAAGTGGAAGGTTCCATGGCAATAAACACTGGCAATGTGGACAAATCAGATTCAGAGTTAAACAGTGAAGCCGCAGCAGGGAAAAGAAACTTCACCCTTGATGAGGCTGGACAGAGATCCACCATGTAAAATGTAGTAGAGAGGTAGCCATATAACTTCACTTTTAAAAACTAGCTCTACAGTTTTGCTTCTCCTATTTAGCCATAAGATGATTGAGCTCCACAGAGTCAATATTTATTTTAATCATAAAGTAGGATTTCTTGAAAGAGTCTGTATTGATTGAGGCCTATGAGTTTACCTGAATTGGAAAGGAGATGATCAATGTAAATAATAGCAGATATAAACTGTGGTTATGTTACCTCTTTTCTTGTTGAGGACCAAAGCATTTAGCACAGTGCCTTGCAAAGAATAGAGCTCAAAATGTGTCTGTTGGTTGGTAAATTTGATAAACTGGCAGCATCCCTGGCCTCTTGTCATGAAGTCATTTTAGAACTAGGTAGAACCAGTCCTGAAGTCAGATCACGAATATCTGGGCCAGGGTTTACGCTACGCAGATGTCATGACTAGACCACAGAAAAAGTTTTAGGAAAATAACTGGTTCCCTTCTCCCTGCGCCTACCCTCTGCTCCCTCCCCAGCTGGTCTGGGCTCAGATTGGCCCTGGAGACCAGGGTTTTTGTCAGGGTATTTTGGAGCAGTGACTGGGCTGTAGGTAGAGAAGAGATCTTCTCTGGTCAGACCTGGAAGTTTTTCCAAAACTTGACTTAATCCCAAGCCTTCCCTGGAGTTTGGTGTATTTTATGATCCAGATTCCAAACCTAATTAGAATGAGAATATGCCTGAATGCTTAAACGGCAACAAACTGCTCTGCAAACCTCAAAGAGCACTTTTTCCCCAAGTTTCTGTTTTTATTTTAAAAAGTACTTACATGGCACTTACTATGTGCAAGACACTGTTCTAAGCACTTTATAACTATTAGCTCATTCAATCCCCAGATAAACCTTAGGAAGTAGGTACTATTATGATTTCCATCTTACAGATGAGAGATCTGAAGCTTGGAGAGGTTAGTAACTTGCCCCAAGTTCATGAGTGGTGGAACTGAGATTCAAAACCTGGCAGTCTGGCTCCTCAGTCCATGATCCTAACCACTTCACTGTGCTATTTTTTCTGTTTTATAGTAATTTGCACCTACTTTGACCCACCCCTGGATAATTCTCAATTGCTGGAGTGCAGTGGAGCTGTTCAAGTTTACCTTTTGGCTCTCTTGAAGGCAGATGGCCCAAATAACCAAGGAAAAGGGCCCACCCATACCTGGAAATAGATCATGGGCACCCTGCCACTGCCAACTAGCCACGGCCTACTTGATGCCCCTTTGATCTTAAAATTGTGTCTTGGTGACAAAGAAGGTTCAGGCAAGAACATCTGTAGCTTTCAAGATTAATCAGTTGCAATTTTTGTTCTTCAGGATCTTAGCTGCTGAATAGCTTTGGGTTTGGAGACAGGAGAGACTTACCTCATGGTCTGCTCTTCCTGGGGGGAATAGCTAGGATCCTTCCTAATTTTGGTGGAATTTTAGGGGATATCTTGAACTTTGGGTTCTCAGTAGTGAATTGAGACTCAGAGGTGACAACTTTCATGCATGGAGATCTCTGTCTAGGCTCTGGTCTGACTTAAATTAAAACCTAGCATAGTGCCTATGCTGAAATGATGCTTTTTCATTTTGGGGGTTGTTTTTTGGTTTCCCTGAAATTTTAAACTGGAACATTTTGTGTGTGTGTGAGAAAGATTAGCCCTGAGCTAACACCTGTTGCCAATCCTCTTCTTTTTTGCTGAAGAAGATTGGCCCTGGGCTAACACTGTGCCCATCTTCCTCTATTTTATATGTGGGATACCTGCCACAGTGTGGCTTGATAATCAGTGTGTAGGTCCACCCCCAGGATCCAGACCTGTGAACCCCAGGCTGCCAGAAGCAGAGCCCACGAACTTAACCGCTACACCATGGGGCTGGCCCCTTAAACTGGAACATTTTAATGTGGATAAAACCTTACGCTTTATACCAGATGCACTTAATATTTTTGGTGCTTAATGGATTTCCTTTAGGTAACTGGTAATTACTGCCATAGACTTCATACTAGCTACACTCCATCACATCCATTAAGCTTCACAGATAACCATTCAAGATTCCCTCCCAACAACAGATTTCTTCTTCTTTAATTAATTCTGTTTCCAAAGTTGGTGATAGTGTCAGAAGGATCCCCAGTGCCCAGCCCAATGCTTGTCATATAGTAGGCACAATGAAATTCAATATGGGTAGAGCATGCTACAGTTTTGTTTCTAAGTGGAAGGAGTAATTGCATCGTCACACACAAACATGTTTTGATAAATGGATGTTTCGTTACATAGAGGTGCACAAAATTCCAGTTTTTTGTGGGGAGGGGTTAGTGACAGCCCCAAGAATTGAAGCTGCCATTCCATTTTACATATAGGCCAAGAAAGAGGTTATCAGTGAAAAGTTAATTATGGATTTGGCACTCGAATAATCTGCTCCATTGCAAAGTATTTGAGCACCCCTCATCTCAGCCCTTTGTTTTATCTCTCTTGTGGGCTAATATGAGGGTAGCCTTACAGATATTATAGGAACTTCTTTTCTTTCTTTCTCAGCCTTTATGAAAACAATGCATAGTAAAATATATTTAGAAAACCTTTCTGTTTGAGACTCTTCTTTTAATGGGCTTTTTATTCTAATGATAATTGTACCTTTGTCTTTCAAAAGCTGGTATTTCCTACCTAAAGCCTCTCCCCCAAAAATATCTCATTTAAAAGCCCACAAAAAGAATAGGGGAGAAGAAAGCCTTAGGTACCAATTCCAAAACCGTGATTGAAATCTCCCCAAATAATGGTAGCCTATATCATCTGCAGAGATAGTCTGGCTTGGCTTACCCCATAATCTAATTTCAGAAAAAAAGCTTTATTTTAACACTCATCTAAATCAACACCAAAGCATTTTCTCTTAAAGGGTTTATTGAGAAACTCAAATGAATATGCATTTTGAATTAATGTTGTCAAAAGTGTACAGCTCCCTGTGCTCCTTGTGTCAGACTGAATCCATCCTCCAAAGTACTTTGCTTTTCTTGTGTGGTTTCATTAAGCTGTGTTGGTTAGAAACAGCATCTAAGACCTTACAGTCAAATGACAAAGGAGGCAAATGCACTTTTTAAGGAATACTGACAAGTGGTTTCTGTTCTCTAAAGGACAAAATAACGAAGATGTGTTGTTTTTAATTAGGCTCTTTCCCTGCTGAGTTGGAAATTCCAGTGCAATACCGGTTGACCACAACTGCCAAATCTAAGAGCACAAATGAAGAAGTAAAGCTTTACGCTAATTTTAATGCCATATGATGGAATTTTGTGTGTGTGTGTATGAGGTGGACTAGCCCTGAGCTAACATCCGATGCCAATCCTCCCCTTTTTTCTTGAGGAAGACTGGCCCTGGGCTAACATCCGTGCCCATCTTCCCCTACTTTATATGGGATGCCGCCACAGCATGGCTTACCAAGTGGTGTGTTGGTGCATGCCCGGGATTCAAACCTGCGAACCCCAGGCCACCACAGCAGAGGGCGTGCATTTAACCACTGTGCCACCGAGCTGGCCCCCATATGATGGAATTTTTATCTTGACGTGTCCTGTTAGATAAGTCTGACAGAAAGCTTTAACTGCTATGTCTTACAGCTAAACACAGGAAAATATAGAAGAAAGAAAACTATTATTCTTTATATCCTACAAAGCACCTGAAAATTTTAAGTGGAAAAGATTTCTATGTTTAAATTTTTCTTTTTATCTCAGCACATTTATGGAAAAATATTAAATAGCCTGAGTATTTTATAATTTTGTAGAAAAAATATGCATCTATATTTTCTTGACTTGTTTTTATATAGTAATAAAAGTTATTTTGGAAGCTATTTGTGTGTTTTATCAATTTGTCCAGGCTAGAAGGTGTAGGCATTGTTCTGAAAGTTTCTTTGCCGTGGTTTTTTGTTTGTTTGCTTTTCAATGGGAAATTTTTTTTTTAAGTTTGTTTATTGAACTTGCGATCAGATTCTCTATAAAGTGTACTCTGAGTACCACACCTTTTACATTGCTACAAGGATTCAGAGGACTGTTTCAAAACTGTTATGATGTTCTCCTCCATACAGGATCTGAACTGGAGCCATGCTCTGTGGTATAGAAGGGAGCCAAGATGTAGGTAACCAAAGCAGATGCAGTTTAAGTTGGAAAAGCATGGAAGAAGAACCGATTAAAAATGCTGGTTATTGCAGAACTCTGTGTTTATAGTAACTTATCCTTGAGAAAGTACATAATTCATAATGGATGAATTGTGGGGTTTTTTTCCAAATAAGAAAGAAGGATCATTAGCATCTAAGTAGAGCCAATACTCATCCAATCTTAATTTCACCGCTCATTAAGCCTTTTTTCACCTACTTTTTCTCTCCTGGGAAATGTTAATGATGTTTTATGTTGTGTAGCTGTAATAACACCATAATACTATAGGTCCTGTTATGCAACAGAACTGTAATATTGTGTGTGAATTGAATTTTTATGTTACATCGTATTTTGTCACTGATTTATTAATTTCAGGGGTACTGTATTTCATTTCAGATTGGTCTTAATTGGCAAGTACTTTTGATATTTTATAAATATATGGCTCATGTACATTACCATATAATTTTACATATATTAGCTCATTTAATTTAATTTCAGTTATACTAGACATGTCAGTCATAGTACCCACTATACCCCAGCCTCTCCAAGGCAGCTCTGTTTTACTAACTACATATTATCTACATTTCCTCCACCACAGTTAATTGAATGAGGGTGGGAGAGAACATGTCACGCAAATGCAGCCTCACTGTGGCTAGCCAACATACCATGAAGCTGCCTGGCATGAAAAGAGGATGTCCTCTTTTATTTCATTTCAGATTGAGGAACGAGGATTTCAGAAGATTTTGGTTCTCCTTCTCCTAGGAACTTGAACAGGGAAATACTTCAAGAATAAGTCAGTGAGAACAGAAACGAAAGGAATGCCTAGAGACAGGAGCCATGAGGGAGAGTCTAGACCAGGGATCAGGAAACTGTCTATAAAGAGTCGAATAGGTTTTGTGGACCACACAGTTTCTGTTGCAGCTACTCAACTCTGCCATTGTAGCCAAAAAGAGGCCACAGACAATAGTCAATGAATGAGTATAACTGTGTTCCAATAAAGCTTTATTTACAAAAGCAGATGGCAGGCCACATTTGGCCCACAGGCCAAAGTTTGCCAATTCCTGGTCTAGACCATGAGGTAGGGCCATGGTAGTTCATGGCAGGCTGGAATGATGAGAAATCAAGAACTATGCGGTAAAGAGAAAATACTGATGGTAGAGAGGAAGCATTGGTAGTTGATGACAGGAAACACTAGTGGACAGTGGGACAGTCTTGGGGAGGGTGGCCAACTCAAATTAATGGCAGGTACTAGTGAAGATCCACAAAATCCCGCTGAGGGTTCATCAGGGTTGCTTTGGATCTAGTTCCAGTTCTCTTGGGGACTGCTCTTCTGAGAATCATGGGAGATCTCTGTCTCCTTTTTGGCCCTAAATAAAATTCAGTGAATTAAATACATTAACCCCACTTGACAAACAAGAGAACTTAGGTTCAGAGAGGTTAAGTATTTACCCAAGTCACCCAGCTGGTAAGTAGCAATCAGAATAGACACCTAGGTCTTCTGACTCTTAATTTCAGATTGCTTTCCACTGTACCTCAAATCAACACTTCAGTGCATTTCGAAGTTGCTACTTGACAAAGCTGTGTGATCTAGAAAGCAAAGATTGCTTTTGTAAGATAAACAACCATCTATTCATTTGTAAACTTGAAACATCTTCAGTTAGGCATACAAATCTGTGCTTTGAATGGAAATTATGGTACCAAATCTCTTCTGTGATAGATAACCTCCAAAGGCGACCACCATCAGTTCCTTTTCTCCCTGTATGCACATGCTGCTCCTTTATACCAGGAGGTGAAGTCTGTTTCCTCTTCCCTTGAATCTGAGCTCCCCTTTTGGCTTCCTTTAGCCAATGGAATGTAGAAGCGACATTCTGAGGATTTGAACCCACACCTTAAGAGAACTCACAACTTCTGTTTCC